TAGTCACATCACGATCCATACATAGAAGTTACAGAAAGTAAACTTATCATAATGTCTGTAGTCACATCACGATCCATACATAGAAGTTACAGAAAGTAAAATTAGCATAATGTCTGTAGTCTCATCACGATCCATACATAGAAGTTACAGAAAGAAAAATTAGCATAATGTCTGTAGTCACATCACGATCCATACATAGAAGTTACAGAAAGTAAACTTATCATAATGTCTGTAGTCACATCACGATCCATACATAGAAGTTACAGAAAGTAAAATTAGCATAATGTCTGTAGTCTCATCACGATCCATACATAGAAGTTACAGAAAGAAAAATTAGCATAATTTCTGTAGTCACATCACGATCCATACATAGAAGTTACAGAAAGTAAAATTAGCATAATGTCTGTAGTCACATCACGATCCATACGTAGAAGTTACAGAAAGAAAGAATAGCATAATGTCTGTAGTCACATCACGATCCATACATAGAAGTTACAGAAAGTAAACTTATCATAATGTCTGTAGTCACATCACGATCCACACATTGAAATCAAACACGTGACCAGCATCGGATGTAATGCGCGTTGGTCGGTAATGGGAAGGTCGGTGGTTCCAACCACTGACCGCCTCGTACTAAATGACGTTCACAGATGGTATTTGTTGCTGCCCTGCCTGGCTAGGTCAATATAACCAACAATTGTCAGGACCAGTACAAGCAGCCACTCACACGCGCCTGATTGCACGTCGCTATATAAGTGAACTAACACCTTGTATTGAAGGAAACTGAGGATTAAAGGGATATTTTTGTTGATTTTCTGTTTTACACGTCTTATTATTGATTAGGATATACAGATATACGGGATAGAATTGGTCTTCAGCAACCCATGCTTGCTGTGAAAAGCGACTCTGCTTGTCGTAAGAGGCGACTACCAGGATCGGGTTGTCATCGTATCCCAATTGCGTGGATCGATGCTCATAATGTCAATCACCGGATTGTCTGGTCAAGACTCGATTATTTACAGACCGCCGTCATTTAACTGGAATATTTCTGAGTGCAGCGTTAAACAACAAACAAATAAACCAACAGCCACACACACGCACACACACACACACACACACACACACACACACACACACACACACGTGTGATTGCCGGTCGCTGAATAAGTGAGTGAACTAATCTTGAACGCGACGGAAACTCCATTTCACAACACCTTGTATTGAAAGAAACTAAGGGATGAAGGGATATCTTTGTTGATTTTCTGATTGTACACGTCTTATTATTGACAAGCATATCAAGATGTATGTGGGGAAGGCTACCGGTAAAGGGACCACATGGTCGATCACCGTTTAGGAGGAATCAGCTAAATGCATGATATTTTTGTGTGTCCTCTGTGAGTGAAAAAAGATTTAATTTTTACGTAAGGACTGCAACAATTATGAAAGTTGTCCATTATTGTTTAGAGGTATCTTAAAGGTACCACATGGTCGGAGGCACATGGATGCAACGTCAAGTGAACTCAGAGATGCTGCAGAACACGCAGGGAAAGCAATATTTTACGTTCGCTTCATCGGGCACCTCGTATCATTCCTCACAACATAACAACGATCGCGATCTGTTTCTTACCGCCTGCCCCACATAAGCTCTGACTAAGCTTACAGTGGAGTGAGTGAGTGTGGTTTTACGCCGCTTTCAGCAATATTCCAGCAATATCGCGGCGGGGGACACCAGGAATGGACTTCCTTCCAGTGGATGTTCATGGGACTCAACATTTGAACATAAATAATACAATATGTTGGCGGGAATGCGACTAGAAAACAGTGTTTTTTGTGTTTGTTTGTTAAGATATGGAATGTATGACAAATCAATTATTTTCCAAAATAATGACAATTATGTTGTTTTTTTATAATAAACGTTCAGGAAAATATCACGTACGTATTAAAACCAACTGGTCCCTTTAACTTAAAAGATGCATTTGTCTCCGCCATTCTTGTCTATATAAACAAAACACAATTGTATCGTAGAGAAAGCTCTTCTTCATTATACATTAAAAAAAAAAAAATTTAATACCAAATATCTGCGGCTTCTGTCAATGATACATGTTTGTGATGCGGAAAAAAATGTTTTCATAATTATTTCAAAGTTATCTACGTATCTCTTAAACGATAAAGTCATGTATCGTTAAAAAGAATCATTAAATAAGTATCTGCTTGGATGAGAAACGATTACAGTATTGATGATGAGAGTTTGGGTGGCATTCAAGACTGATGATGGATAATAGAAGCCCAGGTTCTTGACGTCAGCTTGATAATAAAATGTTTGTCCTTTTAATTGCATACTCCATTAAATGCATCAATTTATTGACAACTAAATTATGTAAGATTTTCAACAAAATTCAAGTTGCACAGTCCATGGTACGACTACGAGTATAACCGTTTGTTATTGGGAGTTGTTTATGTTTATATAAAACTGACGGTCTTGCGTGTAAAAGGTCCACTTCGACCATTACGCATGCGCGCGTTGTTTGAGCAGTGGTATAGTGTTTTCGATTTAGCAAGTTTACCTTTGCTGATAACACGATATATGCAGATGAGCACACGGTATATTCATCATAATTATTGTTTTATTGTAAAAAGAAAACACACAAGAATGTCAGCACACGTTTTCTCACTTAAACAGAATTCTCAAATTCTAATCATACAATTCTTAAACAAGGCTCTACATCGTCACATTTACTATAAAACTATATACTTTGTGTGAAACCTTGAAATGTGAATTCTCCCTACCTAACTCACAGGGACGGTTCACCACCCCTTGTATTTGCGACTAAAAAAGTAGCTTCGTGTTTGCAAAATCATAAAAAATATAAACAAAAGTAACAAAAGATATTTAGGGTCACGAAAATTCTGTATCATACATATAAATATGATTATATACAAAATCAACTTTAACCAAAAAAAATCTTGAAAACTTAGAGACCGCTGTTGGAGCGAAAGAATACACGCTGGTCAAGTAACAGAAATGGCCCTTTGTGAAACGAACAGTCTCGATTGTTTGTTTGTTTGTTTGTTTGTTTGTTTGTTTGTTTGTTTGTTGTTTAACACCGCACTCAGCAATATTCCAGATATATGACGGCGGTCTGTAAATAATCGAGTCTGGACCAGACAATCCAGTGATTGACATCATGTTTTTGTTTGTTTGTTTGTTTGTTTGTTTGTTTAACGCCGCACTCAGCAATATTCCAGATATGTGACGGCGGTCTGTAAATAATCGAGTCTGGACCAGACAATCCAGTGATTGATATCATGAGCATCGATCAACGCAATTGGGATCGATGACATGCATCAACCAAGTCAGCGAGCCTGACCACCCGATCCCGTTAGTCGCCTCTTACGACAAGCATAGTCACCTTTTACGGCAAGCATGGGTTGCTGAAGACCTATTCTACCCCGGATCTTCACGGGTCCTGTAGTTCATAACAGTCTCGACTGACGAGTGAAGACAGAAATTTACGGTTTATAACGAGTCGTCTAAAGCGCCGCGATTCGCTGTGCAGAATTGCGACCCTTGTGGGTTCGAATCCCGGTTCGCCCCGATTATGTTTCTAGGTTTGTCAGCACCATACCCGTGCTCGTGGGTTTCACCAAAGTGGTAAACTTCTAAGACCTGCATCACTTCGGGCTTTCCTCCCTCACGCCGTGATATAACTGGACTGCTGTTAAAAGCGGCGTTAAAATTCCGTCAAAGTGTTTTGTTCACTGCAGTGAAATATCAAGTGTTATGTTCACTGCAATGCAAATATCAATTTTCCCAACTTCAGAAAGCTCCGTCTTTCACACTGAAGTATATAATAAACAGTTTTATCATATACTTCAGTGTGAAAGGCTGCCCGCGATACGCTACATTTTATACATGGGGGAAAATATAGATCATTTAAGAAACGTCATAAAAGAAAACATTAAAAATTCGGCATAAGTCCGGACTAGAACAAGCACACACACACACACACACACACACACACACACACACACATGAACGTTGCTGTATAAGTGCAATAATGAAACGGATAATTAACAGATTGACTAAAAATTATTAAGACTGTCAAAAACACCACAATAGATTAATTATGCTAGGATTAGGACCCACACAATATACAAATGTACTTTTAATCCTAACATTTTCAGTCATTTGGTGATGATATTAAACATAAAAAATGTTTGGAATTCGTTATCATAATAATACAGATGGACATATTTTTCAGTCAATTTGAAAAACAACTGAATGTTTTGGCGTTTCATAAATTTTGCACATTTTGACTGTAAAAATATTGCAAGTCAAATTTTTGTAAAGGAAAATCGCACAATTACCAAGCAAGTGACTTATTAATACTTCCTCACAATCACCGATGCTACCCACAAAGATACTACATTTCCTTGTTATTTCCAAAAACTGTATTTTCATTTTGTTGATCAATGTGACCATACGCCCTTATACTATCAATTGCTAGACAATTGCTAAAAGCGGCGTAAAACCAAAGTCACTCACTCACTCATTTAAAGTGACACATGCGCTTACGAATTGCGCAGCACAGGTCGCGAACTAGTCGAGAATTATGTTTTTTCGTCCGGGGACTCACGGGAGAGCATTTTTTATATCCTCGCCACCTTACTCGCTTTTACCTGTTCGAGTATTTTGTTACTGTAACAGTGAACAAAGTGATTAGATAAGATCAATGTCTGTGTTGCAGTTTATTTATCTAAACGAAAATAACTAGGTTTGCTGGCAACAAATCCTGGTTCGGAAAAATATATTCTAGTTTTTGGTTGCATCTATCACTGTTGGAATTTAACGTGTAAGACGAAAAACATAATGTGAACAAAAATAAATACAGTTTCAAGTTTAATATAGTATTATTTACAAATCGGTTGAAACAGTTTTGTTTTGTTTATCGAATAATTGAAAATACTTTCCCGTAGTAGTAATTTCATCTTTTGGATCAATAAACCGGAAGTTGACAATTCAACATGGCTGCCCCATCTGTCGCACCGACTGCTCGTCCATGGAATCCCGACTACAAACATACAGACAGGGAGAGGTAAGCGTAATTTTTTTAGGTATAGACTTAGTATGCCCATGAATCCATGTCCAAAGTTTGGTTAATATATTTGGACCAAATAAACTGTAAATTCAACATGTTTCCAGAACTTGTGGCCATATGGTAGATGGGAAGGCAGATGTTTCATTCCACATTGTGTATTCTTACGCTCATTTGGTCGGTGTTGACAGGGGTTATACTATTTTACGCAAAACCTAAAAGACTCTCACTTCTAAATGAGGTTTACCCGGAGCAGCTTATGTTGCTCAATTGGCACAGACTGAAGGCAGTGGGTCTGGCTTCACAGTCACAGATCTCGCTTGCTTCTTCGACCCTTAGGGTAAGGCTAGGTTAACCACATCTCTTTCCTTAGCCCTTGGATCAACTTTCTGATCAAGCGTCCTTTAACGATCATTAGGATTGCGTAGCCCTTTCTGTTCTGACACCTCTTCTCAATAGGGTTGGGCACCACTTCCCAATCAAACACCCCTTTTCTACCCTAAGGTTAGTTGTCGGGAAAGATATGGGGAGCACCTTTAGAATACAGTACCACAATTTCTTGTGAGAACGATCTCTGTGTGTCACATGTCCTAAAGGCCAGTTGTTGTGAGAATCCGTCGGACGCGAACTCACAACCTTTGGATTTTGGATTGTTAGTCTGACAGCTAACTGACTGAGCTACCTCCACACTGTAAAACTAAGTGCAAATTTACCTAGTCATGCCTACACCCTTACAGAACTGAACGAAAATGGTGGAATAGGTGGCGGACACTTACGAAGATTACAGATAGGCATGGTGTCTCGCGATTGAGTCTTCTGACACTTACAAGTGATCCCGATGCCTTAAAGTAGTATTATCTTGATTGAAAATATAGTACTTGTTGTTACCCTGTCTGGTCGGCTCAGAGTCAGTAACCGGAATGGGGCATGGTATCTCGGTAGGCCAGCACAATTAAAACGGCATCAGTCCAGACTAGTACAAGCAGCCTAACACACACACATGAATGCATATACAATCATTATATATATGCAATAATCGTGAACGCCACGTTAAACTCCATTTCATATCACCTCCAATCAATTTGGCTTGGAGTCACAGGTTAACCGAAGTTACTGTCTTTCGCTCAGTATTATCCCATAAAGGCTGGCTAAAACGATCAATAATCAAAAGGATTGTCAATTGGAAGCAATAGATATCGATATGAAATTGTTGTCATCGATGATAACTCACATCAACTATTGTGATGAAAAAGTTTAGATTTACGGAAAGGGGCTTGTTATTGTCAATCATGTCCGTTGTCGAATATGAAAAGCAATTGTTATATTTCACATGTCCACAAAGTAATCCCGGCATAAACGTGTCACTGCTCACCAGTAGTGTGATTTATGTTAAATTCTTTCGTGATTTACTTGCACATTTGCTTAAAGTTACTTCTCCAATATTTATCAATAATTGATCAATATTTTGTTAGCGATTATCGATCTCTATGATCTATAAGATAACCAGCCCTAATACCCATCCTGAAACACTGTTAAATTAAACTCCCTCTTTGCAGGTGGATATGTGTGTACCCAGCCTACATCAACAGCCGGAAGTCTCTCAAGGAGGGACGCAGAATACCCAAGGATCAGGTTTGTGAGACACACCTTGTTTTTCTTTGGATCCCCAAGAAAGCCATCTTCTCAAGGCAAGGACCGCCTCCGTGGTCTTGTGGTAGAGCGTCCGCCCGGAGAGCGGAAGGTCCAGGGTTCGTCCCCGGGCCGCGTCATACAAAAAGACGTTAAAAGATTGTACTTGTTGTAACCCTGTCTGGCGCTCGGCATTAAGGGGCTAAAACAAGGACTGGTCGGCTCGGAGTCAGTATACTGTGTCTGAGTGGGGTATTCATGTTAAACTGCGGCATGGTATCTCAGTGAGCTAGCACTATAAATTGGCATCAGTCCGGACTAGTACAAGCAGCCACACATACACGTGCATGCACGTCGCTATATAAGTGCAATAATGTTGGCCGCGACGTTAAACCCAATTTCACCTCACCTCAAGGCAAGGGAGTTAACTGACTGTAAAAATCCAGCTTCCACACTTGCCGAACTAGACTGGAATTTCTGGGCTTTATCTTAGGGCCACCAGTGGCTATTTTGAGTTATGTCCTTCTATGTCCCTCCTTTCTTCATGAAGAGCATTAAATCCGTGAGCACCTTAATTGAAAACATGAAACGATTTGGAATACAGTAAACTGCGGTTGTAACGAACTCAAAGGGACTACTAATTTTAGTTTGTTATAACCGTAGTTCATTATAAGTACATATACAGCATGACTTCAGCAAGTAGTCGGGACCAAAAAGAATATTCGTCAGTTCGTTATAAGCGTGTTCGCTATAACCGCAGTTTACTGTATATATGTTGATGCTAAATTGACAGCACACATGCTTTGTAAATCCTGCGGTTGACTGAAATCTGTATGACAGTTTACGAACCGGATGTTGATTTCGTTACACGATTTTGATTGGGCTATGCATAGACTGTTTAGTCCGGCCAAAATATAACGCCATAATTCCACCCAAGTTCAGCAAGGAGGGAAACTGGACTTTATGTCAGTTAACTCCCTTGTCTTTGGAAGATGAAGAAAGCATCATTTATTAGGGTTTCAAATTCAGTGAACTAGAGTACTGATGGCATTGTCAAAATCCTATTGAATCATTAAAATTAATTCCCAGTTCTTAAACAATGCTAGTTGGCAGAGTTACATACTTAGAAAAAATATTTTTAGGTCACCTTGGCATTGCGAAATGCGCTTGTGTTCATCGGTTGTCATCCGTCTGTAAGCGCTGCACCCGTGAAGATCCGGGGTAGAATCGGTCTTCAGCAACCCATGCTTGTCGTAAAAGGAGACTAACAGGATCGGGTGGACAGGCTCGCTGACTTGGTTGATGCATGTCATCGATCCCATATTGCGTGGATCCATGTCATAATACCAATCACTGGATTGTCTGGTCCAGACTTGATTATTTACAGACTGCTGTCATATAGCTGAAATATTGCTGAGTGCGGCGTTAAATAACGAACCAACCAACCAACTGTAAGCACTGAACTTTAAGAAAACACTTTTTCTACTAAATGTAATTATTTATTTCCCATGGTATACATTTGATATGATTGTATGTTATTTCCTTGCAGGCTGTAGACAACCCTAGTTATGCTGAGATCCGGGATGTGTGCGCAGCAGCCGGTTTGACACTTGGTGTAGAGGTTTGTGCTGTTACTGTGCAGTGCACACATTTTTCAAATAAGTGACCAAGTTGAGTTTATGCCATTTTGAACAGGTATCCTGAAGTGATGCAATCCTAGCTGTTTGCCACTATAATGCTAATATTTCAAGATACATTATCAGGGCAAATCTGGGTTTCAAACCCATGATCATAGGATTCTGGTAAGTCAAAGGGAGGCAACTCTTCACAACAACTGTGATGCCCATGCTCCCATCCTTCAATCTGATGTAAAGGCGTGACCAAAGAAGCTTAGTCTGTACCAACACTAGAATCAAGGGCGGCGGGATATCATGGTGTATAATGTATTGAAAGATATTCTAAAGGTGGTTGAATCTCACCTGGATTATGTTTTTTGTTCGTCAGCACAAAACCTATGCTCGTGGTTTCTCGTAAGTGTTAAATGTCAAGGGCATGCATCACTTTGGGCTTTCCTCCCACATTAAGCTGACACACATTAATATATATATATATAAGAAGACAAATTCAAACTGGATTCTTCAGAAGGTCACGATCAGGAAGTGAGTTTGGTTCAATTCGGCGTTGAACAGTATTCAGAAGGTCACGATCAGGAAGTGAGTTTGGTTCAATTTGGCGTTAAACAGTATATATACTGTATATATACCAAGTCGGCCATCTGATGCATGTCATTGTATCCCAATTTCACAGATCATTGCTTAAGATGTCAATCCTCTAGTCCAGCCTGATTATTGACAGACAGCCATCATAGAGCTGGAATATTGCTGATTGTGTCATTACGAAACAGACAAAACTAACATTACCTCATACTGACATTGTTATTGAGTTTTAGTGTTAAGTTTCCCAGAGAAATGTCCACTGATTTTTGAACGAGTGTGTTATTGAGTCATTTGAATGCTTCAGAATAAAGTTTATCCCCGGGAGTTGGATCACAGAGATCAGAAGTTCCGAGGTCGAATCCGTGTCCAACTGAGGAACGAGGAGGGACAGCCAATGTCCGAACAATTTCCTTCTCGTAAGTCATCACAATCTGGTCATTTGTTGAACTGTGCCTTAGTAACAGGGGGTCACGGGTGGCCCAGTCGTCTAAGGCGCCGCGATTCGCTGTGCAGAGTTGCGTCCCCTAGGCACGCCAGAAACCTATGATTGTGGGTTCGAATCCCGGTTCGCCCCAATTATGTTTCTAGGTTCGTCAGCACCATACCTGTGCTCGTGTGTTTCACCGAAGTTGTAAACGTCTGAGACCTGCATCACTTCGGGCTTTGCTCCCACATTGAGCTGACACGCCGTGATATAACTGGAATAACGTTAAAAGCGGTGTAAAACCCAACTCGCTCACTCACTCTTATTAACAGATAGAAGCTAGAATTTGAATGGTTTCTACAGATGATCGAGACAACAATTTTTATAAATATTTATGGAATTGCATCCGATGTAGAAATATTTTAAAATGTACTACCGGCTACTCAACATTTCATAGAGGTATTCTGAATATCCAGGTGGGGATAAATCTGAGATGTTGTTTGGAGTTGTTGTCATACGAATAGGATGTCATTTGGACATGGAACTGACACATGTTAAGCTTCAGTTCAAATGTTTTTATATGTTGTTGTCCAGTGACTTTGTAAAAATGTGAATTAGCACAGTATCCCTGTCTGAAGTTGAGTGGTATTGTTTATACCAAGACTCATTTTGTTGTTGTTTTGTGAGAGAAGTCAAACTTGTATGCAACACATTTTAACTTCGACCCATTCAGTGTTAACACAAACACTTGCTGTTTAAACTATGCAATACCTACAGTGATATTGCAGAAATCGTCTAAAATTTTGCACATGCGTATCTAGGGGGCATGGGTGGCCCAGTCGTCTAAGGCGCCGCGATTCGCTGTGCAGAGTTGCGTCCCTTAGGCACGCCAGAAACCTATGATTGTGGGTTTGAATCCCGGTTTGCCCCAATTATGTTTCTAGGTTTGTCAGCACCATACCCATGCTCGTGGGTTTCACCGAAGTGGTAAACGTCTGAAACCTTCATCACTTCGGGCTTTCCTCCCACATTAAGCTGACACGCCGTGATATAACTGGAATACTGTTAAAAGCGGCGTTAAACCCAAATCACTCACTCACTCACTCACTCACTCACTCACTCACTCACTCACATGCATATCTTACGCTTACCTTTGCTTCAGCTTATTATTATGATAAACATGGATCACCTTATATCCCAGTGATAACTTTTATGCATGGATATTATTGATGGAATTATGAACTTCAGACAAAAAAGTAATCAATAAACATCTTTTGTGTCTAGTTTAGTCAAAATTCAGCTACCATTTGTCAGTATTAAGGGGGTCTCAAGCCACACACGTTCCCATGGTGGGTACATATATTATACAACTCTTTGCCAGGCAGGGATTTATCTAGGTCTGTGCAGCGAACTCTCTGACACATTTAGGGTCTTAGCAATAAGGGTCCAGACTGGCAACACGTGGCACGCTACACTTGATTTCCAAGAATTCTCAGTCTTACAGATGTCATATCAGTTGAAGATCCAGGGTAGAAGATGTCTTCAGCAACCCATGCTTGCACTAAAAAGCGACTATGCTTGTCGTAAGAGGCAGAAACAGGATCGGGTGGTCAGGCTCGCTGACTTGGTTGATGCATGTCATCGTATCCCAATTGTGTGGATCGATGCTCATGGTGTCAATCACTGGATTGTCTGGTCCAGACTCGATTATTTACAGACCACCATGATATTGTTGGAATATTGCTGAGTGCGTCGTTAAAGAACAAACAAACAAAAAGCATATGATACGACAGGGGACACCATGCAGGGAATTGAGCCCGGGTCTTCAGAGTGACGAGTGAATGCTTTAAACATTAGGCTGTGTATATTCTGAAAAAAATCTGATTTTTTTAATGTTTTTATTTTTTTTACTGCAACATTTGCGCGATCTATAACTTTAAAACTACTTTGTGGATTCTTTTCCTATTGGGGGTAGAGTTTCTATGCCAATAGGAGAGGTGCAGTGCACAGTTTAATTTTGATGAACAGATTTTCAGAGAAATATTCTTATTTCATGTTTTGAACGTAGAAATAAGTCAGGGGTATTAGTGAGCTCTGCTCACTTTTTGTCTTGTCATTATTAAAAAAAAATGTGTTTCTATATATTTTATTTCATTTCAAATGGTTCTAATTTGGTATGTGTAATAGCTTTGGCTTAAGAGCAAAATAACGCTTGTGCTCACTATGGACAGACTCCATCTCTGGTTGATCATGGGCGGGGGGCACGGGTGGCCCAGTCATCTAAGGCCCAGCGATTCGCTGTGCAGAGTCGCGTCCCTAGGACACGCCAGAAACCTATGATTGTGGGTTCGAATCCCGGTTCGCCCCGATTATGTTTCTAGGTTTGTCAGCACCATACCGTGCTCGTGGGTTTCACCGAAGTGGTAAACGTCTGAGACCTGCATCACTTCGGGCTTTCCTCCCACATTAAGCTTACATGCCGCGGTATAACTGAAATACTGTTAAAAGCGGCGTTAAACCCAACTCACTCACTCACTCACTTGATCGGGGGCACAAGTGACTCTGACAGGTCACACCAATCCAGTTGCTGCAGTTTGATGTGCAGGGTTGCGTCCCATAGAAATCCTTGGGTTTGAATCCAAGATTTACTCTTATTATGTTGCTAGGTTGTAGGACCTTCATGTGGTTTTTGGGTGGTGGGGTGGCACTGGTACCTGAATTGTCTAAGGCGCCACAATTTGCTTTGCACAGTTGCATCCCTTGGGCGTTCGAATCCTGGTTCGCCCTAATTATGTTTGAATGTTTGTCAGACTATACCCGTGCTCGTGGGTTTCACCAAAGTGGTAAATGTCTAAGACCTGCATCACTTAGGGCTGATGTAAATGGAATACTGTAATAATAATGGCGTTAAACCCAACTCATTCACTATGGGTTTTTCTCCCAGACAGTCTTTGAAATATACAATATTGCCAGGCTGCCATCACAACCCACAGACTTCAGAAGTTCAGGGTTAGAACTAAACACAAAAGCTTCTCTAGTCCGGGTAAAGATAAAATGCCCTTGTAACGTTATAACAATGGGAAAATTTGTACTTGCCCGCAGGAATTGTTACTAGCCCCTGGCTAGCAGGCTAGTGTTAAGTTCTAATCCTGTAAACTCTTCAGGCGTCATTTTAGAAGCTGCAGCTTATTGTGACAAATAAACCTACACATAAATTTTCTATGACCCATACAAATTTGGAAGAGTTGGCCCAACATGAGACCTGTCACAGGCCTATGGGCCGACTTATTTCAGACACTGCTCTCCCACATCAAGCCACCATACTGTTCAAAGTGACATTTAGCCCAAATCACAACTCATTCTCTTTACTCTGTTCTGGGGGCATGGGTGGCCCAGTCACCTAAGGCGCCGCGATTCGCTGTGCAGAGTCGCGTCCCTAGGACACGCCAGAAACCTATGATTGTGGGTTCGAATCCCGGTTCGCCCCGATTATGTTTCTAGGTTTGTCAGCACCATACCCGTGCTCGTTGGTTTCACCGAAGTGGTAAACGTCTGAGACCTGCATCACTTCGGGCTTTCCTCCCACATTAAGCTGACACGCCGCGATATAACTGGAATATTGTTAAAAGCGGCGTTAAACCCAACTCACTCACTCACTCATTCACTTTACTCTGTTTCAGGGAACTCACTCCTGCTGTACCTCGGACAGACCATTCCCAAGTTGAAAGCTCGTACACAGTCACAGTCTCAGTCAGGGGGCCATCAACAACAGTCTTCAAAACAGCAGAAGAAGAAAGGTCGCAAGGGAAAATAAAATATACTCCCTGGATTGTCTGTATGATGCTATTGTGTCACATTATAATATAACTCAATTCTTTAATGTCAAACATGTCAAAAAAGGATTACTACAAATATTTGTATGACAAACGTGTTGTGACAATATCATTCAATCTGTTTGGAAGGATACATGGCCTGTTAACTTTTTCCTAATGTAGTTCTTGTCACTATTTATTTTGAATAATACATTTGTGACTCATAATTGTAAATATGTTTGAGAGAGTATATACAAGTCTAACTGTCAAGATGGAGTACGTTGATGATGGTAATTTAGAACAGTAAAAGTTGTGTCTTAGACTAAAAAAAATAATAGTCTTGGTTCTCAGGCACCGCCCGCATCATCATAAAGTTCGCTGCACGTTTAATTTTTATTTCCATTTAAAATAATACCGTATTCGACGTAATAAGCGCCCCGCTCTAATAAGCGCCCACGGCGATATTTGCTAATATATTGGCTAGTGAACAATCTAAATTAGCACCCCTTCCGATTGATCAATGTACACAAGACTTATTTATTCGTGTATAATATGCACCCGTGTCTTATATGTACCCTTAATTATGGGCATTTAAGTCCTGGAAAAATATATCAGGCAGTCAGCATAAACCACGAAATCTGCAATCTTTTAACACCAAAATAATATTCTGATAAGAGCCCCCTATTTCTAATTTTGAGAGCGCCCTGGGCGCTTATTACGTCGAATACGGTAATTAAAAAATCCTTAAATATTCCCACAACTGTTTATTGGGTTACACACCTTTTTATTTCGTTACATATTAGTTTGTAACGCCCCCCCCCCCCCCCCCACAAAAAACGCCGCCTGTCCTCACTATATTTTCAAAAGCCAATACCTGAGAACCAATTATTTTATTTTTCTTAGTCTTAAGGATTGTGTATGGCAGCGTTCATTCATCGAATGTGTATAATGTTGGTCATGGTTGCTTGTTTCAGTTTAAAATATCCGAAGCCTTGTTGTTGCAGAGTATGACATCCGTGACCTGTTATCTTGGGATAAGGGGTGGGAAGCAGAATAGGCGTAGTGGTGGGTTAGGGCTAGGTCAGCGATCTAAGGTGCTGCAACTCGTACAGAGTTGGCTCCCTTTGCTGGCAAGCAATTTCTGATCATGAGTTTGTTTAGCCTCATCAATCAGCATCTGTGCCATGATAAGGCTTGATACTCTTCAAAGCGGTTTTGGGGCGGTCGGGTAGCCTAGTCGTTAAAGCGTTCACTCGTCACGCCGAAGACCCGGGTTCGATTCCAGACATGGGTACAATGTGTGAAGCCCATTTCTGGTGTCCCCCGGCATGATATTGCTGGAATATTGCTAAAAGCCGCGTAAAACCATACTCACTCACTCACTCAAAGCGGTTTTGGACCCGTGAAGATTCCGGGGTAGAATAGGTCTTCAGCAAACCATGCTTGATGAAAAGGTGACTATGCTTGTCGTAAAAGGCAACTAACGGGATCGGGTGGTCAGGCTCGCTGACTTGGTTGATGCATGTCATCGATCCCAATTGCGTGGATCAATACTCATGATATCAATCACTGGATTGTCTGGTCCAGACTCGATTATTTACAGACCGCCGTCTATATAATTGCTGAGTGCGGTGTTAAACAACAAACAAACAAACAAACAAAAACAAAGCCGTTTTGAACCCAACTCTCTCTTGTGTTTGGGTTAAAACAAGCACTGACCGTGTCATCTCAAAGTATACTTTATCTGAGTGGGGTATTCATGTTAAAACTTGTTTCTCGGGGCTAGCACTATAGAACTGGCATTAGTCAGACAATACAAGTACCACGCACATGCATGTACATCGCAATATAAGTGCAATAATCTTGGACGCGATGTCAGACCCCATTTCACGTCACCACTTCTGTGTGGTCGGGTAGAATAAACTTGTTTGTACTGAATGGATGTGTTGTTTGGCTAACATGGTTACCAAAACAGCTCAGAGCTTGGATTGGGCACAAAACATATATCATCATCTCAGAGTGGAAAGTTGGCAACATTAAGGCTAAAAAAATAATAATATTGGTTCTCAGGCACCGCCTGCATCATCATTAAGTCGTTATGATTTCCATTTTCCCCAAAAAATCTTTAAATATTCCGCATCTCAAGCACGACCCCAGTATTGAAATGCTACTATACTTAAGAACAACATGATTTCGCCGAAATTATTGTAACCCAAATTTGGTTACATACTAGCTTGAACAACAACGAAAAAACAACCACCCGCCGCTCTATATTTTTAAAAGCCATTGCCTGAGAACCAATTCTATTATTTTTTTAAGCCAAATACTGATTGCTTACATGTTCTGATAATCTTGAAATAAATTGTTTCTGTAAAGACAAAACATGTGTTTTTGTGTTATGTTGACAAACAACGTGAGACACACACACCATCTCCTTAACCAGGGCTAGTTTAGTTAGGACGAGGCAAATGCTGTAGGATGCTGTCCGGATTATCTGGTAACAGTTTTGTATCACTTACCATTCATTTTATCATATCCTTCAATTTTCATCAATTTTACCACAAAACCACCATTTCACAAATAGTCGACCCTGATGTTTCGAACTCAGATGTGTTGAATTCCCAGTTGCGGTAAATTCACAGTCTGGTCATAGAGAACTCTCACTATTCAAGACAACAGTGTTCGACATAAATATTTTGAGACAGTTTGCACCCCTTGTTTCACCCCTCGGCATAAAGGGGCTAAAACAAGGACTGGTCGGCTCGGAGTCAGTATACTGTGTCTGAGTGGGGTATTCGTGTTAAACTGCGGCATGGTATCTCAGTGAACTAGCACTATAAATCGGCATTAGTCCGGACTAGTACAAGCAGCCACACACAAACACACATGTGCATGCACGTCGCTATATAAGTGCAATAATCTTGGATGCGACGTTAAACCCAATTTCACCTCACCTCACCTTGAAATAGTCCTCTTTCACCAGTAACAGCTGCTGCTGTTGGGAAGAATAGTGGATGAGGTGTTCGCTAATCACACTGAAGGCTTGGGTTTGATCCCCCTACAATGGGTGAAGCTCGTTTCCGGTGTCATCTTCTGCTTTGTTGGTGAAATGTTGCAAAAACCGGCATACCCCATCTCACTGGGGCTGCTTCTCAGTATAATGTTTTCCTTGTGTTCCCCTTGAGAATTCAGTGCGGTGTATCTCACCTTGTGAAGTGGGACCAAAAGGGAATTAAGTGAGTTGGGTTTTAACGCCACTTTTAACAGTATTCCAGTTATATCGCAGCTTGTTAAAGTGAAAGTTACCAGCCATTGGCAGGGGGGCAGGAAGTTATTCTGGACACTGAGTGCACTACACTGGTAAAGAATCTGATCACAAAATATTTAAGGCATTAATTCTGCTGAAACTTCTTCAATGAGTTATGTTTGGTCCATTTTGCAACACATATAACAATATTTTCAGTATGATCATTTCCTATTGTAAGTTGTGAGTTGGTCTTACGCTGCTTTTTGCCGTATTCCATTTATATCACGGTGTGTCAGTTTAATGTGGGAGGAAAGCCCGAAGTGATGCAAGTCTCAGATGTTTACCACTTTGGTGAAACCCACATGGGTATGGTGCTAACAAACCTAGAAACATAATCGTGGTGAACTGGGATTCGAACCCACAATCAGATGTTTCTGGCGTGCCCAAGGGAGGCAACTCTGCACAGTGAATCACGGCGCTTTAGACAACTGCGCCACCCGACCATGGAGGCAGCAGTAAACCATAAAGAATAGTGCCTCCTTCATTCCAAGGTCCTATCAAAACAAACTTAACATCCTTGAGGTGAGGTGAGGTGAAATGGGGTTTAACGTCGCGTCCAAGATTATTGCACTTATATAGCGACGTGCATGCTCGTGTGTGTGTGTGGGGCTGCTTGTACTAGTCGGGACTGATGCTGATTTATAGTGCTAGCTCACTGAGATACCATGCCGCAGTTTAACATGAATATCCCACTCAGACACAGCATACTGACTCCGAGCCGACCAGTCCTTATTTTAGCCCCTTAATGCCGAGCGCCAGACAGGGTAACAACAAGTACCATCTTTTAACATCTTTTGGTATGATGCGGCCGGGGATCGAACCCCGGACCTTCCGCTCTCCGGGCGGACGCTCTACCACTGGACCACGGAGGCGGTTAGTCAGACGAGAGAGTGTCAGGGGTGTAGACACGTGGATACATTTTTCTAAACATCCTTGAACAAAACAACACTTACGACTAACTGTGAGAATAGTATGTTATTTATTTGTGAAAAAGTGTATATCACTTGCCCACACAGATGATTTCAATGTAACATGACTTCATTCATAAACACACTGACCCCACAACCCATACTGAAATATACATCGGTCCTCGCAGATCATCCTCAACAATCCAGGGTCTTATATCTCCAGTGTGGTCATATGTACCCTGGGTCCATTTACAAGCCTAGTTTTGAGATGGAATCAAAAGATACAACTCTCAAACAAAACACACTCATGTGCGAGAGAAATACTCATCAGATGAAAATTAGCCAGGCTTGTTGATGAAACAGACCAAGGGTATTTATGATAATAATTAGAGAATAACCAACAAGCTACGAGGAATTATGGATTATTTGCCCGGAGTGAATGAATGGTGTTAATCCCAAGCCTTTGGCGAGGGACTTCGGTATTCATTCACGAGGAACAGGAAATCTGTAATTCAGTGTCAAGTGGGTTATTCTATATTTTCCATTTGACATTTTAAGAGAAAAAATTAAGATAAAACATATGAAATGTCACACCAACAGAGAACTTCACAGAAGGCAGCCTAATGTTCAGAAGACATAAATGATGAATTTATGACATCACGAACAATGGATGATGTCATTGATTTTTCTTAACAACGAAGCACATACTCTGATGTCACATTGCTTCAAAAGCCCAATCAGCATTGAGAATTGCTAAGCTGCACATGTGTAAATATTAGAAGGTTATTACAGACAATCATTCTAGCCTTATGGCAATACAATGTAGATATTACACCCTAGATCAGTGAAAATGCCTGCATGTATG